TGGTGGTGGTGGTGGTGGTGACAACAGGCAAGGTCAGATACAGCAATAGTAATTGCCAGCGTAAGAGTAGAAGTAACAACGACGGCAATGCAAGATCAAGACCAAGAAAAGAAGAAAAGCAACATGAAAGCCAGCCAAAAAAAAACAGTAAGCTTCATAATCTGATGCTTTTGCTTCAACTCCGGCTTCCTTCTGTTGTTTTTTTTTGGTTGTTTCAGGTGGCGTTTTCTCTTGAAATGCCATGTGCCATCCGAGGATGGCACAGGCCTAGTACAGACAGCCAGCTGAATCTGCGAAAACCAAATCCTGAGAAATTGTGGGAGTATTGAATGATGACAATCAGGCCGTCGTGCTTGGCAGAACTTCTATCTTCTTCTTTCAAGCTGTCTGTTTCTTTCTTTTGTTGGTTGGGTGGTTGAGGGGGCAGGAGTAATACCGCCAACAATCGCTACGCAACTAACCACATAGACCCAGGCAACAGCTCATTTGTAACGGATCAGGCGGTGCTGCGGAATAGATCAGAGGATGCACGCAGACAGGCACGTGACAAATCATGGAAGCCAGACGCATATCACCTTTGCGACGCAAATTCTATACAACCATTCGTATTTCCCCTGTTATTGACTGTTCCTGGGTGGGCGCAGTACCCAATGTAGTGTAGGCTTCAGGGCGTAGAGTTAGCAAAATGTTGAACGCAAAGCTCACCTCTTCTTTCTGGCGCTTGAGGAGTGGGGTGGATGCGAATCATGATCCCCATATAGAGCTCCCGATAATGGTACCTATTTTCACTACTGTACGTTCACTAGCCCCCTCCTACTTGAGCACCAATACCTCTGAAAATGCCTCACCCTCAAGATTGCACTCGTCTTTCCTGCGCTCATAGAAAAGAGAGGTGGATCCCTATAACAATCCCCATGTATCGCCCTATGATGGTACCTATCTTTTGTTTGCGCGTCTCTGCGTGGTCTGCGCGCTGTTCCCCACATGCACACCCAATATCTACACTCAACATTCCCACAAGCCCCCACCCAACATAATGCAGGAGGAAAATTGAGTAAACGTGTAAGTCTCCCGAGGGTTCCATCCATCTGCCCTGCATCCCGATCCTACAGGCTGGATGTCAAGGCCAGCAATTACAGTATTCAAGAACAGCAGTTGCAGATGGACACTTCACAATGCAGGACTAGGACACATCGCCACTTAGATGAAAGTCGGGAGTTGTGACTGCAAATGCATGCTTCCATGCAAACTTCACTGATCCCCTCTGCTTTTTTCCGCCCTCGGGTGTCAAGTGCATTGCTTTGTGCATCTTGGTTCAAGAGTTCCCTCACCCTTGTTTTGCAAAGGCCTGTTTTCTCTCTGTTGCGTACTGGAAGCTGCACAAGTCCCACTTTATTTTCCTTTCAAGCATTGGCAGCTCCTGACAAAAATCTCAACAATCTTCTTCTTGAGCCAAGTTGTTTTTGCCCGCGTTGCCTCTTTGTCCACCCCAGTCTTGCTTTTCCACATGTCTGGCCCTATCCCGAAATTGCAAAATGGAAGTCCGAAAATGAATGCCCTATCCTTGCAGATCTCAATCTTTTTGCAAATCGCCTGGGCAAGCTAGCATCTGGGTATGTGAGTCCCCGACACCAGCAAACCTCCAAATACGTACGTCCTTGCTGCAGCATGTTGACATAAGGGACTGTTACGCAGCTTCTTGCACTAAGCTGCGGGCAGTACTTCACTTTTGACCAAATCCGTGATGAACAGCTTTACCTTTCCACAAGTGGCACGATTTTCAACGCTGTCCCCTGAGCATCCAACCAATAAAGCCCAAGTTGCAGTCATCTTGTTGAATCCATGCTTCTCCTTCACGCACCATACAAGGCCAACACCAGCTGAGCGCACATAAGGTCCCTAACCTTGCAGAACGGCTAACCTTTCGGTTTGCTTTCTGTGCTGTGCGCGTTTTGTTGTCACTTCTCTCGCAAAAACCTAGCGAAACGTATCTTCAGAATGGAGGAACCTTCCTACGATGATTGTTATACGAGAGTACGAGCTAGGTATGCCTCCACCTGTACGCCTTCTTTTGGTGACAAAGTGTCCCTGAAGTGCCCTAGAATCAGAATGCAGCGTCGCGCAGTCTGTATGACTGTCGACTGGAATGCCAAGAACTGCATTTGTCTGAAGGTGTTCACTGTGCATTTTGGTAGGGGCTCAGGTGTTCCCAAAAGGAATACTCAAAACGTCCGTGTGTCAGCTTCAATGCATTTGATCCATAGGACTAATGGCCAACTGCGTCGATGCTCATATGTGGAAGGAGTGAGAGACAGAGATGGTGGCCCGACCAGCAAGAATTTACTGCTCCTCTTACATAGGTTTTACGGAGCTGTTTGTGGTTCTATTTGTCAGCTATCGGCCGCATTCACGTTTGTCAACTTTTAATGGAAAATTTAGGGACGGCTCAATCAAGGCTTGAAAAAGGTGGTAGTTGTTCCGTGTGTGGTCCTTTAGTCAATCGGCACCGGTTGCTTTGCATTCCTCACATCACGCCCCGCTCGGCGTCACACATTTGCTGTCAGTACGAGTGCCCGGGTTATCACACATCAGCCGGTGAGAATATGCATCTCCCCATGTGGACGCTGCGTCAGGGAAAATATACATCATTGGGGAAAATGTCATCACGAGATGCAAATCCCCAAGGAGACGCTGCATTTTGAAGAGCCGGACAGAAGGTGTAAAAATGACGCTTATGTGGCAGACGCTAACGTTTGCAGTATGTTTCGCATGCATTTTGGCCACATTTGGCCACCCTACATCAGCAAATGCCCAAGGAGACGCTGTGTTCGGAAGAGCCGGAGAGAGTGTGTAGACATGTCATCTACTAGGGGATTTTGCATCAACACCTACGTGCAATACTGTATGTACTCGGGATTTTGCAACAGGAGCCCACCGATGCAATGCTAGGAGACACCAGGATGTCACGCTGAAACTACCAAACTGCCTGTAGACGCTGTCATCAACAAGGCTTTCCTGATTATGTTGTTAAGGAGTCGCCAAGCCCAAGACATGGCTTCCCCAAGTAGACGCTCAATCGATGCATAAAAAACCGGACCGATGTAAGATAACCCTGAAGGATAAGGGCTAGTGTCCCAGCAGCATTCGCTTGAATTGTCGGAACCTCCTGAGGCACTAGCTGGAACTTCAACACCCCCTACCCACTTTGTTAAAGCATCCGAAACAAACCAAAGGAAAATCAACAACAGGGGCGCTTTGGCGGATGCAGGCGCAGCATTGAATTTTGCGTACGGTCGGGGCCTGAAAGTCGGGGCCCGACCTCGCCAGCTATCCACACTTTTGTATACGTTGCTCACATAATTTTAATCATGTTTGGGTCCGAACGGCCGGGCCTGGCCGAACAATCAAACTGAATATTACTGCATTCTTCAGCCGGTCAGACTGTGAGACAGTCAGGGGTGTTGGTTGGGGCCCAACATTCTTCGAGGGTCGCGGCTCGATGCTCGGGGACCGACTGTCCAGGGACGGATCAGGCTGTAACCATGGGCATCAGAGACTTTTGAGAATTTGCTAGACTTTGGCTGGGCTGGACCTCGTCTCCAACCGTTGGCCTAGGCCCCAACCTTTCAGTCTCAGGCGTGATGAGCTCCCGAAAATCTTTCAAACAACGCTGTCTCCCGTTGTGAACAAGGGAAGAGGATCGGGAGAGTCTAGGCCTGGTTTCTGGTAACATGTGCTTGGGACCCAGACTCGCGATCAGCAGCTGCAGCTGCTTGTTTTTAGGTCGTGCCCCACAAACGGCAAGAGGTCCATGGCCCGTCCCAACCCCGATTGTCACACGGCACGCAGCTGAACACGTGCACATGCGAACTCCAATGACGACCTGATTGCGGCTGCATGCGGCTGTACACTGCCCTCTCCCACCGAACCGTATGTGCGCAGAGCCTTGACAAACCAGGTTGGCAGCGCACCCAAGAGCCGTCCTCGACCACGAAATTCGAGTACAATGAAAAGGGTATCGAGATGGGCTTCTCCACCTGTGCAGCTGATCCAAGAGCGTTCTCTCTAGAAACGCGCCTCATGCCGCCGACCCACTGCAGCAAGAAGAGCCAGAAGAGAGTGCAGCTGTACTCCGCCTGCACAGCAAGAGACTGCAACATAGTTGATGCCATGCTGTGGCCATGACCTTTTCACCGCAAACACGAACCTGAAGCGGAGCGTAGGGCTTCTATGTGCGCATAGATTCCTTGATAAGCCGAGCAGGCCACTGCGTAGTGCCACAGCCATGGAGTGATTATGAAGAGCTGCACCTGCACAGCTGCTTCCGCCTCTCTCTCTTTACTCTCCCTTCGTTCGCAAACCTTGTCGTAGACAAAGCTCACCCAGTCTTTCACAAACCCAAACAGGCGCTTGTCCTTCTGGTAGGCCTGACACGGAGTTGTATTGATAGCCGATGCTGTCGGGAACAGGGAAACAAGTGGCTCCTGTGATTCAAGGAACTTGGTCTCATCAACAACACCTCTGCTCGAACTAGCTGGGGCATCTCGAAGCCATGCACATACAACTGCTATGTTCCCACACCTCGAAATTCCTCTGGCACAGCAGTATCCTTGTTCCTCAGGCGTGTCGTTCCAAGCAGGACAGCAGCATCCACGCACTGGACTTATCATGTGGCATTCAACCTAGCCCTCTGCAGCTGAATGCCTAGGACGCCTGCTTCTGCAGCTGTCTTAACTCAAGATATTGCTCAAAGAAGTGGAGGACCTGACGCGCTTTGATGGAGCCCATCCTGGAATCGAAAGCAGCTTGAAGCCATTGAGGACCATACCGAGGAGAAAGCCACAAATCCCCAGACGTAGGGCCTGTGCAGCTTGCGGCAGCAAGCATCGAAGCTAAGAAGCGCAGCTGTCGGACCCTCCCACGGCAGGAATGACCTAGAGACGGCGCAAAGATAGAAATGCATCAAGGAGGCATGTCAATGTGTCTCCTTCAGATGCTGAGACATAAGCCATGCTCTGCGGCCAGCAACTACAGCTGCCACATTACCCATGAACTCATGGAGCCAAACAGCTGAAGAGGGCTTTAGCTTATCTTGCAAGCGTTCTACCAATCCACAGACATTGGTGCTGTGCAAAGTTAACACGAGCGATCCTCACGAGCTGGATGCACAGAGTCCATTCACACGAAGCACAGGCGAGACGTCAAGTACCCATGTTTTTTGCGGCAACAGAATCCAGGAGCCGGAATGGAAACGTATCCCCTGCTTCAGAGCACAATGCACTCAAGGCAGAGTGGGCAAGATGTGTTCCTTGACATGTGCATTCTGCGTTCCGGACTTCCTCTTGCATTTGGGATAGTGAAGGTTCTTGACGTCTGCAGCTTCAAATCACAAGTCCGCGTGGCCATATAAAATTCCCAGCCGAAGGGCGCACGCCGGGCATCCGAGCGCCGCTCTGGGACCCCTAGACATGTCTGTGCCATCTATGTTCAGGCAAAAACCGCAGCGCTGCATGAGACACTGATTTCAAAGTTTAGCAACCAGCTTCACCTGTGCCAATGTGCAGAACAGCCACACGTTTTGATCCTGCAATGCGGCCAAATCTCTGTTCTTAAACAATGCGGAATCAAGCCAGTTTGTGATTCCTTCTTTGCCAGGTTCAAAAAGATGAAACTCTGCTTGTCGTGCGACCTGTGGAAGTTTCAGCCGCCGAACAAGCGTTGCACGTTGACGAGCAAAGGCGCGCCAATGTCAAAGCGCATGTCAGGTACTTTGACCCGACTGGCTAGGAAAATATGACCATCCTGATGCTTTTGCAGCAAAACTGCCTGGCAGTCGGTACAACCGCCTCGACAGCTCAATTGACGTATTCTTGGGCAGCATGCTTCCATAGTTAGCAAAGGTTACTTGTGACAGCACATCCTCTTGCTTGTCCTCTCCAAATGCCTCTGTGTTTGTTGAAGGAAGCACCGCAAACTTTCTGCTGAAGCTCAGTCCAGCTTGTTCACAATGCTTTCCGATGCTGAACCCCCTGCCATTGCATGACATCAACTCATCAAGAGAAGCTCTCCCACCTCACCTGAACAGAGGTGCGATAGCCGGTAACCTTGGCAGTTGGTTGCTTGCTTGATTTCAAGCGTGACACTAAATATTGACAAGAAGCAGCCACCGGCGCCACAACATTCGGGGACCTCTTGCCAAGATCAAGAGGCGAAGAGCACAGCGAGCATCTGCAAATGATTTAGTCAGGCCTGGCCCGATTGGAATACAGCATCTGCCGCTGCTGCGCTGCGATGCTAGCATTGCTCGGGCGCGCCAGCACTTGTTGTGCTGGTGCTGGGTGCGCTTTCGGAAAGGACACTGTCGGAGAACTTGCACCGTGGTTTTTGGTGTACGCGGATGCCTGAGCAGCCAGGAAAGAAAAGGAGGAATTCTGTGACCCCGCTGGCTTAGGGCGTGGACGGCACTTGGCACGCATGCCCTGGCAGAATCCCTGGCAGAGTCTGGTCCTGCCCCCCGCCGCTTTCTTTCAAGTGCTCCCGGCTCAACTGCAAATTCGAGCTGTGTCCTGCAAAAGGTGTCGTCCTGAAGACACGCTGACAGCGTGTTGAGGTATTTTGGTCCAAATAAATTCAAGGCTTCAATCATGGTTTTGCTCTGTATATCTTTGTTTGCAGATAATTGAGAGCCTGCCACCGCCAGGGAAGCCACGAAGACCTTGGCACTCTGAAAATGAAGTGTGCAATCGGGGAGCTGGGATCTGCAGCTTCCTGCCCAAATTCTCAGTGGATGCGGTCGGTGATCTGTCGCGGGACACCCTGAGGTGATAGAGTTTCCTCGACTTAGCTCAGCTTAAAATCAACTCCCGTCCAGGACTCTGACCCTGCTGATGCGGGCGCTGTGAAGGCTTGCATTGGACCAGTCCTTGCGGGTGAAGCCTACGCCGCCTATGGCAAAGAGTTGTGAAGCACATGATGCAGTTACACAGCTACTCGTCCTGCAAAGACGTCCCTGACTTGAAGCGGCATTTACAAGTCCAGCCAGCCCTGACCTGAATGGCAAACAGAGCCAACGGAATGCGTGGAAGGTGGATCTCTTAGGTCTTGACCCAGCCACTCCCCGATTGCACAGCTCTGGCGAGACCTTGCTCGGCCCGTTAGCGCATCTCAAAATGCCAGAGCAACATGAAAACCACATAAATAAGATAAGTTTGACCAACGACGTGCAAGAAATCGCATTGAATTGAAAAAATGCTTTGCAGCCAGCTGTTGCAAAACCCTACTGCTAAGACAAGTCTTGAACCGGGACTGTCCGGGCAACACAACAGCAGCCCCACCACTTGGCGTTGAACGGAGCGCTCAAGTGCTGATGTGGGCGATACTGCCGATGGGCGTGCCCTCGTTGACCGGAATGTGATGTAAGAAAGAAAGAAATGTTAAGGAGGACCAAAGTTTTCACTGCGGCCAGCCTTGTGGGCTCGGATTGCTTATGTCGAAGGGCGGGGCCAAGTAACATCTCCTGAACTTCCCAGGCTGCGGCATGCTAGACAGCACCTCAGCACGTGGTCCTCCTCCTGCACTCGTCCCAGCGGGCCTGCACAGCTAGCACACCCCCAGCTGCGTCGGGAAAAGGTACTGCTTTCAGCAATGAGAAACGATGCCAAACCCAATGCCAACATTACGTTTCCGCAAATCATGTTCGAGCAAGGTCAACGGTGCTGATAACAGCTCCTACAGATTCTTCGATAGAGGGGAGCGCATACCTCATGAAGACAGCGAGACCATCCTGTGATCAGCATCAAACTTCCGTAGCACATGGCAGTGTCTTGGGCTCGCTTCGTCAGAGGCATCTTAAAGATGAACTTCTGCTGAGGAGAAGTGCAACCAAAGTGTGGAAGGCGCGTATTTGCACCGACCGTTGAAAGCTGCAGAGAGTGCACTTAGAGATTCTCTCTGCAACGCTGGCAGTCATGCACCTACCCTGCCGTTTAGCTGGGCTACGCAAGCTAAATGAGTGACAATCGAGCTCCTTTGGCCAGGATTCGGCAATCCTTCACTGTGCGCCTTGGGAACATCAACTGGCTGCAATCAGCTTGGACGTGTAATTAAAGCTGCCAAAGAGCTTCCTCGCATCATCTGCCTCTTTTCCTGCAAGCCAGGCGCAATCTCAACTGCATGCCTTCGGAGACTTCTCCAAACTCTTAAAGTCTATCGCGCCCTGGACACCGTGCCATCTGCAGAAGCTGGCCTTCTGGCGACGCTTTTTCTCTCCGGGCTCGCAGAGATGACAGAACTTGCACACGGCACCATTGTCGCACCCCTGCAGGGGCGGAAACACCCCTGACTGGAATGCCTCCACCACTCATACAACAATCCAGCCTTCGTGTGGAGGAAGGCGCATGGTTTGCCTAGGTGTCACTGTCAACTCAGGAATTCTTCCACACCACCGCTCCCATGAGTCTACTGGCTTTAAAAGTCTTGGTGTTTCGTTCATAGCTAGCCCAGGTACACTGGCCAAGAGAGTGCCCCTGCGATCCAATGCTTGGAAGCTCGAATGAGCCGGGTGCAGGTCCAACCTTGTGCAAGTGTCCAGTCAGACCCAGAAGCTTGTTGCATACTAACGGATGCACACATCTGTAAGGCCTGGGCTGGGGCTGGCACCGTCATTAGTGGGCTGGTTGCCAGCGGTCCCTGGCATAGATGACAGCAAATGCTGCCAAAGCGTGGAAACCCCGTGAAATCTGCTCCCACGCTCAGCTCCAAGCCACTGGGTAGGAGTCCACTTGCGGCACTTGCTTGGACCTTGTGAGCCTGAAGTTTCAACAGATCTGAAGTACGGAGGTCGTGAGCCAATGGGATGGATTGTTCCAAGAGCACTGCCATGGTTCCCCATATGGCTTGCGAAGGTGCGTGGATGGAACACACGGTACCGGCGGCACCGGCGGCACCGGCGGCACTGGGACCTGCACGAGTTCCACCATTCATTTTGCACTGCTGTCAGCCTATGTGAGCCTGGGGGGGGATCATCTCCGGCTGTCGACATCCCAAGTTTGTTGGCGGAGGAGGTCCCTGGCATCCGAAGCGGTCGAAGCGGTCGAAGCGTTCGAAGCGGTCGAAGCGGTCAAAGCGGTCAAAGCGGGGTGGCCAAATCTCCCCTGCGGCAGGGCTCAAATCTGTGCGTCATGCTGACAGCAAGGGCAAAGGGCCTTGAGGAGCCGGAGGAGGGTGCCAAACGCCTCCCCAGCTTGGCGGAATGTTCACATCTTGGACCTCCGCCGCTCCATCATTACATAAACGACATCACAACTCAACCAAGAGCTCAGGCCCGCGCCTTTGTTTCAGTCTTCAAGGTGCTGTACATTCCGTGTATGAAGGCACTTGGCACTGCTGCGGGTGGGCTTGGAGGGTTCAGGTTGACCAGACCAAGCCGTGCCGCTGGAGCGCTGTCTGGTGGGCTCGGTGTGCCTACAAAGCAAAGCAAAAGCAAAGCAAAGGTTTTTTAACGTATCAAAATTGTGAAATGCAAAAAATGAGTAGCTCCGAGAAGCAGTCTGGCCTGTCGGTACGTCTGCCCAACGTGTCCGGTTGCTGTGCTGTGGCACGTGTGGCACGTGCTGCACCGGCGGCTCGGGAGTTCCTGACCAAGCCGCGGGATACTTTGAGTATCTTTGACTCACGCAAATATATGTATACATATCATACACCTACATTATGCATATACATGCATGAACATACTCAAAGTAGCAGCTTAAGGAGCTTATGCTTCTGTGCTTTTGCTTTAGTTGCTGTGCTGCTCTGTTTGCCCTGTGGGTTTGGCCTGGCAGCACGTCGACCAAACGTAACACGGGCTTGGAAGGCGGAGGGATTTGGCACTCCACCTGAGCTATCGGAGCTATTTGAGCTATCTGAGCTCTGAGGGTTCTGAACACTCTGAGCCATACTGGCTGGGAAGCGCACTGTCTCTTTCTGCTGTGTTTCAACTGGGCTCTTGCACGGAGTAGGGAAGCCTGGAAGG